AAAAAAAAAAAAAAAAAAAAAAATCCATCTACATGTTGATGACCCCCAGATTTAAGTACCTGCCAAGACCTTGTCCCCAAACCCCAGACTCACATATCTAACTCTGCATGCGCAGTTCCACTTGAAGGCCTTCGGGCATCTCATGTTTTACTGTCTGAAAGCCAAGCCCATGCCTTCCTCCAGACCTGTCCCTTCCACAGTCTTCCCCATCTTGATTAATGCCAGTGTCCTCCTCCCACGAGCTGCGGCCCCCAACCCTTGACTCTGTCTTGCACCCCCTCATTCAGTCCTGCAGCAAATCCTGCTGGCTCTGTCTCTGCAAGATTTCCAGACACTGCCCACATCTCACCTCCTCTGTGCAACTAACCCAGCCACCTCCTCTCTCTTGCATTTACTCCACTGGCTGCCTCCCTGCCCCCCTGGCATGTACCCTTGCCCTTTCCTCTTCCCCCACCCCACCCATCTGTCCTCAGCATGGCAGCCAGAGACATTTTTTAAAAAAAAATTCAGTCATATCATGCTACTCCTCTGCTCGAAATCCCCCCATGGCTCCCATCTGACAGAATTGAAAGCCTTAGTCCTTCCCGTCCCCGGGGCCCTGTGATCCCCCCTGGCTCCCTCACTGCCTCTCCTTCTCTGCTTCAGCTGTAGGCTGTCCCTTCAGCCTCCGAGCCTGCTCCTGGCCTAGCCCCTGGCAGCTGTGGGCCACTCTGCTGAAACTGGCCCTGCCCTCTCTGGCTCCCCACAGCCTTCATCACCAGGGGGATCAGGCACGAATCTGCTCTCCCAGACACTCTGTCTTCTCCTGAGGGGTTGGCTCCTACGGAGGAGAACTCAGTCCACTCCTGCCTTCCACTGCCCAGAACACTTTCCAGTGCCCACGGAGGCCTGTAAATATTTAGTAATGAAAGGCCTCCTCCCACTAGATGGGGAGGGCTTTAAGGGTGGCTGTGGCGCATTCGTACCTCCCAGTGCCTGGCTACAGTCTGACCCTCAGAGGCATTAAAGGAAAGGGGTTGGGCTGAACAAATGAGCCCATGGCATGGGTGTCTGCAGTGACCACATGCAGAGCAGGGTTAAGTGTCTACTTTAGGGGCTGCCACCACCAGACAAACATCCTCCTACCAGGCTGCCCAGGGTGAGGACGTGCCCAAAGCCTCGCCCCACACAAAGTTTTCTGTGAAGAGCATGTCAGTCTCCACAGGGAATGAACATCCAGCTCCCAGAAGCTCCTCCCCGGGGGCTGCTGAGCCATGAACCAGCCTGTCTTCCTGGATCCTGGTCAGTATCCCACCCTGGTGACTCTGCCATATTAATGATGATGACGTTTTTATGTGATATCATATTAGCAAACAGAAATGGTCAGGATGGCCACACAAATTCCAGGAAGAACATTTAGAAGAAAAAAAATCACCCAAGGTGTAGCCTATTACCACAAAATCGCCAGAGCCACACATTAATGGCTGCATTTAATTTAATGAGATAATCAGCAGAGACTTCTCTTCCTCTGTAAGGAAACCACACATGTGTTTTTCTCAGCATCCATGGAAACCCACGTGGCTGTGTGGCAGACCATCTTTTCCAAAGACAGCTGCTGTGGTATATCTTATTCCACAAGAAGAATGAAGCTTTTCTTGAGACACTGACACACCTCCCATGGCTGCTCTCCTTGAACCTGGACAGACCATTGTGATTACCTGGACCAAGGGAATGAAGCAGAAAGGATGAGGTGCTATTTTCTTTATTTTTTTGAGGGTCTCTTGCTCTGTCACTCAGGGTGTAGTGTGTGGTGTGATCATAGCCTACTGCATCCTTGAACTCCTGGGCTCAAGCCATCCTCCCGAGAAGCAGGGACTACAGGAGTGCACCACCATGCCTGGATAACTTTTAAAATTTTTTTTGTAGAGATGGGGATCTCACTATGTTGTCCAGGCTGGTCTTGAACTCCTAGCCTCAAGTGATCTTCCCATCTCGGTCTCCCAAAGCACCGGGATTACAGGTGTTAGCCACTGTGCCTGGCTTGACCTTAAGAAACTGGCAGCTTCCACTTCCTTCCTCTCAGAATGCTAGATTCTGGAACCAGCCACCATATTGTGAGGAAGCCCAAGATAGCTCTCAAAGAGAAAACACATGAAGAGCCATATGTTGGTTTTCTGACTGACAGTCCCATCTGCAATTCCAGCCAACAGCCAGCATCAATTGCAATACATGAATGAAAAAGCTTCCAGCTAACACCAGCACCCAGCTGTCAATTCAGCCTCAGCATTCAAGCCTTCCCAGCTGAGGCTCTATACATGACTGCACAGAGACAAGCACATAACAAGCCCCTGTGATGCCCTTTCTGAATTACTGACCAACTCAATCTGTGAACATAATAACATAATTGTTTTAAGCCCCCAAGTTTTGGAGTAATTTGCAACATACCAATAGCAACTGGAATGTTTTTGCCACATGGGTTCCTAGGAAGATTAATTAAAGTGACATCCCCATTACCCAAAGTTTATTGTTTAATACCATATTATCTAGCATGATGAGGTCTTCTGGCGGCATAAAACCCATTTACGGATTGGGACCTCTCCATTTCTATCTGGTCTGTTTTTTGTGTGCTGTGTTTTATTTTTTTTTCCTTTAGCAGGGATATTTTCCTTGACTTTTCCCTTGATGGCTATTTCTTGGGTCACATGGCATTGTGTTCTGAGGCTGAATATTTCCAGGCAAAGGTTTCCTAAAGCCTCTGGAAGGAAAGATATTTTTTAGGAACTGTTCCTGGAACCCAACAGAATGCTCTTACTGAAGGCCGATACATGAAAGATGAGCACATAACAATCATATCACTGCCCTGTTTAAAAGCCCTCAGCCTCACCCCTGTCTGGGTTCTCCAAGTTGAAACTCCTGGGCACAGCATGCAGAGCCTGTGGCCCTAGCCACGGCAGGCTGTCCAGCCTCAGCTCTTGTCCTGCTCTCTTTGCACGTGATGCTCGACCCATATCAGACCACCAGCAGCTCCTCAGACTCCCTGGTGTGTCTGCTGATCTGGGTCCCTCTGGCTGGGATGCCTTCCTTTGCATTAGCTTGGTAAACACCTACTCATCTTTCTGGCCTTGACTCATACATTAAGCCTTTACCCAGACATTCCTGAGCTGCCAAGCAGAAGTGACCATGCCCCCCATTGATGCCCACCTGCTCCACTGCACACGGCTTTGTCCCAGCACTGTGCGCACTATGTCTCTGCGTTAAGTGCCTGTGAATCCCAGGGTGCAGTGGCTGGGTCTAACTCTTCCCACTGGCCCTGGCATCCATCCTCAGGCTGGGCACAAAGAAGGCAGAAACAAGTGGTTGTTGAATGAATGAATGGCAAGTGGAAATGCCAATAGCTCTTTCTAGGGGTCTCCAACATTTTACCAGGGCCCTGAGCCTCGGAGAAGACATACCACACAGTAGTGGCCAGCTTCCAAGGAAATCCCTGCCGGAGAAGCAAAATGGGCAGCCGCAGACGTCAAGGCCCTGGCGGAACTAATGGCTTCCTCCACCCTTCCCAAGCAGATGCCATGCTTTGCTGCCACAGCTGGCTGGAGAATGGTTACTGCAGCCAGCAGCTGGAGGAGGTTCCCTGTGACGAATGGCTGGACATGGCTCACTGAAGCAGTCTGCTGGACACAGCTCCTCAATGGAAAACAGGGTGTGCTTGTAAAATCTTAAAGTTTGTTTGTTTTTAAACAAGAGCTGAGGATGCTGTCTGATCTGGAAACCTGTGTTTCCTCTGACCGTGTACAGCAAGCTCTGAACTGCTCTGATCTCAAAACTGGAGCTCAGAATTCTGGAGTGATATCTCCAAAGTCACACAGCTCAGAGCAGAGCTATGACCAGAAGCCACCTTCCAGGCCATGTGACCTTTACACTTCCTGTGAGGACTTGGTAGGGGAGAGAGCATGGGCTTTGGAGCCAAACAGACCTGGTTTTGATCCAAGCCTCATCCATACCTTGCTGTCTGAGCTTGGGCAACTGACTTGACCTCTTGCACCCTCAGTGAAATGGGATAATGAGGCTGGGTACAGTGGCTCGCACCTGTAAGTACATTTTGGGAGGCGTAAGCAGGTGGATCGCTTGAGCCCAGGAGTTCAAGACCAGCCTGGGCAACATGGCAAAACCCTGTCTCTACAAAAAAATGCAAAAATTAGCCAGGCATAAGGGCGTGTGCTTGTGGTCTCAGCTACTTGGGAGGCTGAGGTAGGAAGATAGCTTGACCCCAGGAAGTAGAGGCTGCAGCAAGCTGTGATGGTGCCACTGCACTCCGGCCTGGGCAACAGAGCAAGACTCTGCCACAAAAACAAAAATCAAACAAAGTAAAATGGGATAATGAGGTCTCCCTTTTAGAGTGGTGATGAGTTTGAACGAATACACATAAAGAATCCCCATGCATTGTCCAGCACTCAGCAGGTACTCACTGCAAGAGAATATGATACACTCAGCATACAGTAGATACTCAATGCATGAGGCTGTTATCACAAGGTTCAGTTCCAGCAGAGAAAGTCACCCTCAGGCTTGGCAAAGCTAACAGCCCTGGCAGATGCTTGGTCTAGCAGAGAAGGTACTGCTTTTGTGCCAGGCAAGCAGAAAGCATGAGGCCTGGGGAATGCGGGACCGAGCTGGGCAGGGACTGGGGCATTTTAACCACCCAATAGGACTGCAGTACTCTTTTTGCCTCAACGGTGAAAAGAGCAAAAGTCAGAGCCCTCTGCTGCTCAACCCACCAGACATCAAAGTCCAGCTGCTGCTCTGGTCAGCTCCTAACAGCAGACACAGAGACCCTTCATACTCTGGCCTCTATTTGCCTGGAGAAATTAGATGAATCAATGAATTCAATGAATCTTCACTCCCTCCCTCTCCCTCCCTGGGAGGAGTAAATATCTCCATCCCATTAACCTTGGGCTTTTCCATGTAACTTGCTTTGGCTTCATGGTGGGTGGGGAATTAAACTCTGCCCTTGATTTTAGGTTTGGCCATGAGACTTGCCACAGGGATCAGTGGACATGATCTGAAACATGCTCGTATGGCTGGGCTTGCTCTCCTAGGCTCCCGCCCCTCACCTTCCCCGAGAAGAATGAGTCTCAGCTGGCCACTGGTCCAGGAAGGATGAGACATGTGCAGAGCAGACTTGGACCTAGCTGGATGCAGCCTAGATAAACCAAATTACCAAATTCCAGCCTATCTGAAGTCACAAAAAACACTCACTGATGTCTGCCTCTCATTGTGGAATACTTTGTTATAACACAATCTTATCATGGAAATAGTTGACTGATACAATGCTCTCACAGTCCTATGTCTTATTTATTCATTCATTCATTTATATTTTGAAACACAGTCTTGCTCTGTCGCCCAGGATGAAGTGCAGTGGTGCGATCTCTGCTCACTGCAACCTCCACCTCCTGGGTTCAAGTGATTCTCGTTGTCTCAGCCTCCCAAGTAGCTGGGATTACAGGCACGCACGTGCCTGGATAATTTTTGTATTTTTAGGAGAGACAGGGATTCACCACGTTGGCCAGGCTGGTCTCGAACTCCTGGCCTCAGTGATTTACCTGTCTCGGTCTCCCAAAGTGCTGGGATGACAGCTGTGAGCCACCACAACTGGCCTCCTATGTGTTAATAGTCTTTTCATGTGTTCCACATTCTAAGCAAACTACTGATTCCATGTGGCCCACTCTCTAGCCTCCAGCCCTTGAATAAGCTGTTTCCTCCTCCTGGCATGCCCTCTTCTAACCCACAATGTCCTCACACGTCTCAATCCAATGTCTACTTTAACTTCTAGATAAAATGCTCCTTCCTCCGTGAAACATCCCTGATTCTCCCACCTGTGCCTGAGGTTTTTCTCCTCTGAACATTGTTATGAAAGGCATTGTTTCTCAATGTCTATTAAGTATTTTGTGTCCTTTTCACAAGTCCATTCCAGGCAGGGAGTGTCTTCACGGCCTGATTAAGCCTATACAGGCCCCGCAGGGTCCAGGTGTCTTTGGGATCTGCGGAGTGAAGGACTGGACGCTCTCCCTGTGCTGCCTCCGTGTGAGGAGGCCTCCTTGACAGCCAGTGCCCCTGCCAGAGGCAACTCCTCTGTGGTGTGAGGTGGTGGGAGCCAGACACTGACTCTACGAGGCTCTGAGATCCTGGCCCAGGGTAGACACCCCGAAAAAGTTTCTTGTGGAATGTGGAATTCTAAATGCCAGCCAAGCCTTCCTTATCAGAAGTTAAGAACAATCCTTGCAGATAGCACTGACTGAGCACTTGCTTTTGTGCCTGGCACTGTGCTGTTTGTTTCATATCCATCTTTTAAAAACTCTATCACAAGCCGGGTGTGGTGGCTCAAGCCTGTAATCCCAGCACTTTGGGAGGCCGAGGCGGGTGGATCACGAGGTCAAGAGATCGAGACCATCCTGGTCAACATGGTGAAACCCCGTCTCTACTAAAAATATAAAAAATCAGCTGGGCATGGTGGCGCGTGCCTGTAATCCTAGCTACTCAGGAGGCTGAGGCAGGGGAATTGCCTGAACCCAGGAGGCGGAGGTTGCGGTGAGCCGAGATCGCGCCATTGCACTCCAGCCTGGGTAACAAGAGCGAAACTCCGTCTCAAAAATAAATAAATAAATAAATAAAAATAAAAAAAATAAAAAAATAAAAACTCTATCACTGGGCTGGGCGCGGTAGTTCACGCCTGTAATCCTAGCACTTTGGGAGGTTGAGGTGGATGGATCACTTGAGGCCAGGAGTTCAAGACCAGCCTGGCCAACACGGTGAAATCCCGTCTCTACTAAAAATACAAAAGTTAGCTGAGTGTGGTGGTGCATGCCTGTAGTCCTAGCTACTTGGGAGGGTGTGGCACGAGAATCACTTGAACCCGGGAGGTGGAGGTTGCGGCGAGCTGTGATTGCGCCACTGCACTCCAGCCTGCGCAAAAGAGAGATACTCTGTCTCATAAATAAATAAATAAATAAATAACTCACTGTCCCTCTTTTACGGATGAAGATTGAAGCTTAGAGGAATTAAGTCACTTGCTTAAGATTCATTCATTCATCCCAAATATATTTTTTGGGTGCTTGGGGTGTGTCTGGCACTGGAGCCTAGTAGAGTGAGGGGAAGGACCCACAGAGACACATTTAAGTATAATATGTGTGTGATGCGGAAAAATAGAGTGGCTAAGGAGGGGATCCATTTAGATGTGGGGCGGGAGGGCACAGCCAGGAGATGGGCAGCATTCGGGCAGAGGCTTGACTGAGGCCCAGGAAGAAAGGGGCCGAGGGCACAGTGGGCAGAAGGCACAGCACACTGAATATCCCGAGGTGAGGATTGTGCACAGCGGGAAAGGAGGAAGTAGTGAGCAGTGACACATGGCCCTGGGGCTGCAGGAAAGGGGGTCCAGATGGCTTAGGAACTGGGTCTGACTGGCTGCTGTATGATGAGTGGCTGGGCCCAATGGGACTTCAGAGCTAACCATCCTGGTTTGGTGAATTGTCTTCTAGGCATTTATGGACGAGGAGGACGGGGGCAGAAGCACCTGGGTCTGTGCTTTGAGACCCTAGAAAGGCAGCTGGAGATGCTCCCCAGCTTGTGGGAGGGGGGCAGCTGTTTACCAATCCAGGAACAAGGAGAATTCAACCAAACCATGGGGCATGTGAGCCAGGTGCCTCACCTCAGCTCCTGGGGAAACGTCCAGCTGCCTTTGACAGTGTCAGAGCCTCCCGGGCCTGCGGGCACAGGGTTGCCATGCTGTCTTGGGCATACACTGTGGCCACACAGAGCTACGCATCGATCATGGCAAACATGGCCTGTGGCCTATCGCCAAGAGGCGCAGACGCATGGCTCTGATAAGATGAATGATGATTATTGGAAAGGGGAAAAGAAAGGAGATCAAAGAGGCCCCATTCACCCCCGCAAAACATTAAGAGATAGTAGAGGCAGTGCCAGGAGAGCCTGGTACGGAGCTGAGCCCTGGGGAGGGTCTTTGTAGTTGCTGGGATGGCTGAGCTGCAGGCAGTGGGCCAGCAGAAAGGGTTGAGTCCTGGAAACCCAAGCTTGGGTACACCACTTACTAGCTGTCTCAGTTTCCTCATCTTCCACAGTGGGAGCAAGGAGACCTCCGCCTTGCAAACCGTCCTGAGGGCTAGCGATCATGCAAAATGCCGGCTGCAGCAGCTGCAAACCTGCGTGGAGGCCGATGCCACGCTGCTGAGCGCCCCACAGGCGGCACCTCTTTTAAGTCTCACAACACTGGAGGAGGAGCGTGCAATTCCTGCCCGTTTTACAGATGGGGAAACTGAGGCTCAGAGAATCATCTAAACTTCACAGAGCTGATGAACAGGGAGCCAGGACTCAACTCCGGCCATCTGCCTTGGTGGCTCTGCTCTTCACTGCTGTGCCATTCCATTCCCGTGCAACTTGGGAGACTGGGCTCGGTTTGGAGGGTCCAAGAAGGTCTCAGGGAAGTACTCTTGGCTTTGAGACCCCAGGCTACCTCCTGAGGGCCTGTGGCTCAGCCTGACCCTATCTCCTACCTCTGGCCTGGAGCAAGGCCCCCTGCAGCAGGCATTCCCTTGTAGAGAGCTGCCGCCTCTCCCTGGGAGCCTGGGCACTCTCTGCAGGAGCCTCCCCAGATGCCCTCGAGGAGTGGCTCTTCCTACCTACACCATTCTGGACCCCATGACTGATCCCTTGGCTGAGGCTCACTCATAGGAGGGTCCGAGTTGGTCTTTTTCTCTGACAGATGGGAGCCCTGGAAGGAAGGTACCCTGCCAGATGCATCTTTAGAAACACCAAAGAGCCTAGCATGATGCCAGGTGCATGGTAGGCTTGGAGTAAACATGTAGTAAATTAACCCTGAGACAGAGCAGAGCAGGAGCTAGAGCACGCATGAGCACAGGCCGGACAGGTGGCCCTCTCTCCATCAGGCCATAACAAATCCACCTGCTTTACTCCCAGCATCAGTGAAGAGGAGGGGACCAGCCCACCCTCCTACAGACCAAGGTCCTTTCCTTTCTTTGGTCCATAGGCCCCTTCCAGAATCTCACAGAAGCCACTCTGCCTCTTCCCTTAACTGGAAAGATAGCTACACACATTTTACACATAAAACAACACAGGCTTCTCCTTGCCAGACTTACCTATGTTTACCACCTAACAGAGAGAGAGGCAGGGGCCTGAGACAGATTCTGACAAAGGATAGAGTGGGGCAGAAACTCTGGAATCAGGTGGACGTAGAATAAGATAATAATTGGCCTAATACTAGCTGTGTGACTTCTGTCAGCTACCCTATCCCATGAGCTTCAACATCCTCTGTGAAATGCAGATAATGTAGATTACTGAAGCCACTGGTGCTAGTGGATGCATAGTGAGGTTTGTTTTCCTCAAATGTAAATGGACTGCAGGGGATACCTGTGAGTTTCCTCTTAGTTGATTATTATTATTTTTTGAGACAGGGTCTCACTCTGTTGCCCAAGCTGGAGTGCAGTGGCACGATCACAGCTCAACTGCAGCCTTGACGTACCCGGGCTCAGGTGATCCTCCCACCTCAGCCTCCCGAGTAGCCGGGACTACAGGAGCATGCCACCACACCTAGTTTTTTTGTACAGACAGGGTTTCACCATATTGCCCAGGCTGGTCTCAAACTCCTGGGCTCAGGTGATCTGTCCACCTTGGCCTCCCAAAGTACTGGGATTATAGATATGAGCCACCAGGCCTCGCCTCATTTGATTTTTTTTTTTGAGACGAAGGCTTTGCTCTGTTACCCAGGTTGGAGTGCAATGGCGCGATCTTGGCCCACTGCAATCTTTGCCTCCTGGGTTCAAGTGATTCTTCTGCCTCAGCCTCCCAAACAGCTGGGACTACAGGCACATGCCACCATGCCTGGCTAATTTTGGTAATTTTAGTAGAGACGGGGTTTCACCATATTGGTCTTGAACTCCTGACCTCAGATGATCCACCCACCTGGCCCTTATTTGATTTTTTTTTTTTTTTTTGAGTTTCGCTCTTGTTACCCAGGCTGGAGTGCAATGGTGTGATCTCGGCTCACCGCAACCTCTGCCTCCTGGGTTCAGGCAATTCTCCTACCTCAGCCTCCCTAGTAGCTGGGACTACAGGCACGCGCCACCATACCCAGCTGATTTTTTACATTTTTAGTAGAGACGGGGTTTCACCATGTTGACCAGGATGGTCTCGATCTCTTGACCTCATGATCCACCTGCCTCGGCCTCCCAAACCCTTATTTGATTTTTTAAAGGCAGCTGCGATCTTGGGGGAAGCACAGGCTTCCAGTCAAACCATGTGCCTTGGCTCTGTGGCTTACTAGCCTGTGACCACAACCAAGGGACTTCACCTTTCTGAGCCAGCAGTTAGTCTGCACTGTCCAAGGTGTCACAGGTGTGGGTGACTTGGACCAGGTGAAGGGTACAGGACTCCACGCACAGAGTCTGGCAGGAGAGTGAAAAGGAGGAGGAAGTGCCCATGTAGGGAAAGCCCCTCCCTGCTCGCCCTGTCCGCTCACCCACAGCCAAGCCAGGCCTCATGCAGCTGTGACAGCCCTGAGCATGCTTACAGGGCAAGAGCTGCCTCTGTTTCAGACCTTGGTGCCCAAACAATTCACAAATGCAGCAAACGTGCCATGGCCCAGGAGCTAGCTCTCCACTTCAGAGAAAACACACAGTTCAATTTCCTAAAGATCGAACCCCAGGAGTGTCTCAAGGCTTTCCTGGCAAAAGCAGTTCTCGGAACTCAGGAGGCACCACCCTCATGTGACTGAACAATTAAAGCCCAGAGTATTTGTTGTTCTCAGCTAAGGCTTGAGGATGGCTGAGAAAACTTTAAAAAAAAAAAAAAAAAATCTGATTTTGGCAGTGTGGTTTTCAGAAATACATGGTAATCCATTTTTGTCAATCCACAGAAGGCACAGCTCAAATCATTAAAAAGCCATTGTACTTAATCACACGTAGAGAAGGCCAGTCTCTGCCTCTGAGATCATTTTCAAATGGTTTCAGGGTAACTTTCAAAAACTGACACGCAAGCAGGGAGGGGATTATGAAAGACCCTAATCTGAGGAATTTCTCTTTCTGGTTCTCACAGGGTAAGTGATTTATTTGAGAGGAAATCACCACGCAGACTTTGGCCTTGGTGGTGGGAACAGTGGTGAGGAAGACTCTAGGATGGATCAGATCTGACCTCTGTCCTTAGTGAGGCTGCAGCTGCCTTCCCAGAAAGACAGGAAGCAATTTTCCAGCAAAATAGCAAGTAAATGATTATGAAGCCTTATGACAGGTGCTAATAATAGGTGGAAGTTCATGCAGCTGTTAAGGCCTGGCTGTGAGCCACAGGAACCTGGGTTTGGAATTTGACTTTGCCACTCTGCAGCTGTGTGACCTCACTCACTCCTCCCAGACCTGGGTTCCTCATCTAGAAAATGGGATGCCTGCCTTGTAGGCTTGGGAGATAAATGAGTTAATTCCTGGGAAGCCTTTACTGCAGTGCCTGGTACACAGAAAACGCTCAACAAATGCTGGCTCAGCGGCTAACTCTGCTGAGGAAGCCTCATGGACCTGTGATGGATCGGGAAGGACGAGCAGAAACCCATAGGGTGGAGAGTAGCAGGGGGGACATTCCAGGTAGAGGGCACAGCATGTGCAAAGGCCCCGAGGTAGAAGCTGGTCAGTGAGGAGCACAGGTTTGAGGGGGGATGAGGGGTGGCCAGTCAGCTGGAGCCATCCTGGGAAGGACAAGGGGTTTGGTCTCTACGGTGAGGGCCACAGGGAACCACAAAGGGGTGCTGCAGGGCTGGGCCATGAGCAGCAGTGTTCATTAGAAGCTAACGAAGGGGCAGGAGGCTGCAGAGAAGGCTGGCACGACGTTTGGAGATCCAGAATTGTTCTGGGGTCAGAACCACAGAGTCTTCTTTTAGGTCTCAGACCACACTGGCCACTTGTTGACTCCTAGGTGATCAAATTCTCACTAGGGGTCCCCAGCTTTGTTTTTGAGAGCAATACCCTCTACTGTGGTGGCAAAGATTCTGCTCCTGTTCCCCTTCCTTAGGTAGAGTCGTTGCTGGGAAACAGCCGCCCAGGCAGGAACTGTGGTTCCCAGCCCTTCCACATCTAAGTGGGTCCTCAGGACCCAATGCGATGTGGGCATAGGCTCCATATACTACTTTGAGGCCTGGCCCATAAAAACCATTCGTGGATCTTCCAAGATCAAGGCAACCCAGGGAGTTACAACCTGAAGATGATGGCGCCTGCATCACCCTGGGTGCCTGAGCCATCGTGGAAACAGTGCTCACCTCACCATCAATTTGACTTTACATGAGCAAGAAAGAAATGTCTGTTGTCTCCAGCCACTGAAGTCTCTATGTTTATCTGTCACAGCAGCTAGCATTACCCTAAACAGACCCACCAGGCAGTATGACCTCGGGCACTTCTCCCTGAGCCTCAGTTTCTCTCACACAGATTGTTGTGGGCACCTAATAAGATGACAAGTGTGAGGGCTTTGCAAGCAGCGAGAAACCACAGGGATCCGTTCATCATGGGGTTATTGGCTTTGGTCCCCCTGAGAGCCTGAGGTTGCGGAGGGGAGGGGACTCTAGCTAGTCCCTGCAGAGACAGGGAAGTGTAGCAGCTAAGGCCTGGAGAAGCCCCCGGCAGGGGATCAAGATCCACCAGCAGGTCCTGGCACAGGCTGGGGACTCTCACTCCAGGTTTTAGTTCAACCCTTTGAGAGATGCTCCCCAAATAGCTGAGCCCCCTGAAGGGAGGAGGCTGGGGCCTGGCTTCCATCTCCTGGCAGCTGCCTTGGGAAGCAGTCGGCCCAGACTCCCTCTGATAACTTGTTCCAACCTCTCACAGCTCATTAACAGGAAACTGCATTCCCTGCCAGGAAGACGCATGCCTTGATTTTTCAGACATGGCAGGTAGACTGTGTTATCAAAGCCTCGTCATGGGCTGCATGGCCCCCACGCTCTCCTGCTCTCTGGTGTCCTCGGCCAGGCTCTGTGCTCAGAGCACACGATGCCTTTGGATGTGGCTGGGCGATCTGCCAACCTGTCTGGCTGGGGCCAGGGGCCCAGGATGGATTCCGTGAGGGTGGCTGAAGCTTAGCCTGTACCCCGCTCCTAAGCATCCCACACTCCCTGCCCAGGACTGGGGCTGAGACCCCGCAGAGGGACAGGGTGGGAAGGCCTGAGCAACACAGGATGTGAGAGCTGTCTCTGGCCTCAGCAACTTTCACACAGAATATGCTGGGCATTCTGTGTCCTTTTGCTCTGTGTTCTTCTGCCATAGCTTCGGGGTAGGGGTGAAGAATGCTTACCCCCAGCCTCTGGAGCCTGGAGTCAGGCGAAAGGCCACTGTGTTCTGCACATATTGCCCATCATCCTGTTCTTGGGCAGGGTGGGTGCAGACACCAACCTCCTCCACCTCCCATGCTGTCTCATCCCTTCATACAGTCACTCACCACCTCTCAGTGGGGACCCATGAGTTCTCAAATCACCTGATGGAGCAACACCATCAGTGCCCTGGACTACAACAAGGACACAAAACATCCATTTCCAGAGTCTATCCACAGGCAGGAGTTAGTCTGTTTCTTCCTTATACCCACCCTGAACTGTGTCGTTAAACGTGGTTTACAGAGGGGGAAACTGAGGCTCACAGAATTTAAATGATTGATGCCTAAGGTCACCCAGCCAGTTCGCTAGGCAGTCATTTGAGCCGGGCAAGAGTGGGGTTCACTTGGCAGCCAGCACTCTGAGGCGGGGGGGCGGGTCAGAGAAGGAGCCGGACGGCGACCCCCACGGCCTCCAGAGCTCTGTGTATGGGAGCCGGCGGGTCACAGACCCCAGACTCCAGGACCTGGGCCATGCAGAGCTGGGCCCTGAAGACCCAGAAGAAGAGCTTCCCCCCGAGGAGGAGCTCCTGGAGACCCTGGACCCCAAAGACTCCCTTTCTGAATTGGAGAGAGTTCTGGACCAGGACGCAGAGGAGGACATTCCTGAGATGAGGCAGCTGTCCATCAGCCAGAAGATCCCTGGCACCGCCGTGGCCAGAGCGAGGAAGAAGAGGAGGTGGCGGAGGCCCAGTGAGCTGGTAGAGCCCAGGAGAAACTGGCAAGTCCTGAAAGACAGGCCATCTGTGTACTGGACCGAGCGGTTCCTGGAGGACACCAGCCTCACCATCACAGTGCCCGAGGTGTCCCAGCGAATGGAGGAGCTGTCTTGGCCCTGGAGATTCTACCTGGAATATTATAACAGCAACAGGACGACTCCTGTCTGGCCCATTCCTCGGTCCTCCCTGGAATACCGAACGTCGCCTCGCCTGAAGGAACTGGCTGCCCAGAAGATTCGGAACAACATCTGGAGCATGAACATGTTTGAGGTGTCCTGGGTATCCAGGGCGGCCCAAATGGCAGTCCCCAGCTCCCGGATCCTCCAGCTGTCAAAGCCGAAGGCCCCAGCCACCCTGCTGGAAGAGTGGGACCCCATGCCGAAACCCAAGCCACGTGTGTCAGACTATAACCGCTTCCTTCACTTGGCCATGCCCAAAGCTCAGCCGGACAAGTTCGTTCCTGACCAAGATCCTCGCTGGGCGGTGCTGGATGTCACCAAGAAGGTCGTGGCCAGCCCCCGGATCATCTCCCTGGCCAGGCCCAAAGGGCACAAGGGTCTCAATGAGGGCTACGACCCCTATTACATCTCCCCGGCTGCGCTGGTGGCCCAGGTGTCCCCTCACCTCTATGAGCTCGCCATCACCAGAAAAGTATGAGCCCCCTAGGCCCAGCTTCTAAGACATCGGCTCACCAGTAAACACCCTCAGGCATCCTAACCCTGTGTACGTGATTGTTCTGAGTCTTTTGGCCTGGAGAAGGGAGGGCAGGCTGGAAGGCCAAAAGAAGGATGAGGAGGACAATAATATTTATTTTTGCATCCAAAAAAAAAAAGTCTAGCAGCCTCCATAATCATTATGCTTATGTGTTTAACACATCCTTCATGCCAACAACTGACAATTTACTTGTTTTTTGACATAGGGTCTTGCTCTGTCATCCATGATGGAATGCAGTGGCGCGATCTCAGCTCACTGCAACCTCAGCTTCCCAGGTTCAAGCCATCCTCACACTTCAACCTCTTGAGTATCGGGGACTACAGACACATGCCACCACAGTTAGCTAATTTAACTTTTTAAAAAATAGAGACAAGGTCTCACTGTATTGCCCAGGTTGGTCTCACACTCTTGAACTCACGTGACCCTCCCACCTTGGCCCTCCCAAAGTGATGGGATTACAGGCATAGCCACCATGCCTGGCTGAGAACTTTATACTCTTAATCTTTGTAAGAGTAGTGCATACTCTTAATGCTTCTACACTGCAGTGTAGGTGGTATATTATCTCCATTTCTAGATGACAAAACCGGGGCACAGAGAAGCTAAGAAGCTTGTCCAAAGCTGCACAGCAAATAAGCAGGAACCACAACCCGAATGCCTACCATACTTGCACTCTCCCTCTACATCAGCGGCCTCACAGGTGAGACGGGGCCCATCTGGGGCAGGCAAATGATGAGGCTTCAAGATGCTTCCAAGCAAAAAAGCAGAGTATAAAATTGCACACATGCTGGTCACCACACCCCATTACAAAGTGTGTGCACGGGATCACATGGGGTGGGATCTGGTAGTCGGTGCTCTGTGTCTCAGAGAGAGGCAGGGCCTGGGAGCTTCAGTCAGTGCCTGGTCCCCTTGGCTGAATTCTTCCTTGTAAGGATAGCTAAGGGTTAAGGTGAATAGAAACCAGGTGGGCACAGGTGTGGTGGCTCCGCCTTGCCTTGGACCTGGAGGCAGTGGTGGTGGTCCTCCCTCACTTTCCCCAGGTGCAGGAGCCACCTGGTCAGATAACCTCTCCACCCCACTGCATTCCAGACAAGCTTTTGCCTCGGGCAACTATCCAAGCAAACCAGAGACCACTGCTCTGAGTACTGACCGTTTTTGAAGTGAAGACTTGCAGGAGAGAGACTATAGAGTAGTGTGAACAGATTCTCCCCCATCATAGAGGCCAAGGCCAAGGAGCTGGTCTGCAATGGCCTATAAAAGGCCCTTTGCGATCCAGCCCCTTCCCAGCTGAGCAGCTCACTACCCACCTTTCATTTCATGCTACAGCCACACTCAGCTCAGTGTGCTGTACTGCTGAGCCTCGGCCCAGGCTGGACCTTCTGCCCTGAGCACCGTCTCATTCTTCAGCTCTACCATGTGCATCTGTGGTTCTCAGGTGCCTAGAACCCAGTCCCTGGCTTTCAGATGGTGCAGTCTCCCTTAAATGCACATGCCTTGGACTTCCATTAAAACAAACACTTGGGGAGAATCCTATCCTTAATAACTCTGTCCAGAGGGCAAAGTGGGAGGTGAGGGAGGATCCCGAGGCACTGAAAAGTGAGGTGGGATGGCCCAGGGACACGCTGCATACTTTATCCTAGGAGGAGCCAGGCTGGCCCATGGAGCCCTCGGCAGGCTTGCTCTAGTGTTCTCCTAATAAGCACTCCTGTACTCTCACACCACCACACCCTTGTACGTGCTGTGCCCTTTACCTAGAATGCCCTTCTTTGCCTGGGAAACTTCAGCATATTCTTCTAAGCCCAGCTCAACGTCACCTCCTCTGTGAAGCTCCCAGAGGCAGAATCAGTGGCTCCTTCCTCTGCAAAAGTGCTATTCCCATAGCACTTTGACCTCATAATTACGCGTGAATCCCTCCTCTAAGAAGAGAGCTCTTTCGGGGCAAGGGATGTGGCCAGTTCACCTTTGCATCTCTAGCACCCATCCCAGAACTGGCCTGGAAATGCCTCTGAATGAATGGATTAATGAGCTTCCTTTTGCTAAGATCCCAAGATACCTATTTTCCCACCTCCTGCTGGGCCTTCCCTCTCCAGTCCCAAGAGGAGCAAACGGAGCCTTTTGTCTTCACACCACATTGGTATTGACCAGAGTTGGGTTTTAATGGTGCTTTGACAAAAGGCAGCTCCCACATTCATTTTCCTTGGCTAATTACATTTCCCAACTGAAATGCTTATCTCTGGGCTGGTGTTAAAGACATAATCAGTTTCCAGAATGGATTCAAAAGAGGTGAGAGCAAGAAAATAATTAAGCCAACTTCTGATTGAATCAAATAATTAAGCAGATTTAATCGGCTGCCTGTGATCTACATCCCTAGCCTGGGCCTGGGGAGTGTTCTGCTCTGTCAGAGAGATCATGTCTGATTATTTTAGAGATGGGCAGCATTTCTTCCCAGTAGCAAGTAAAGGATTGATTCTTTTAACTGAATGCAAATCAGGGTGGCAGAACCCCAGGTTCCTTGTTTAGGCAAAATATTCTGGGTTTGCAGAAAAATAATAGAGGCTGGGGGTGCTCTGTTCTTTAGCCATGTCTAGGCACTCATGGTAGAGTTTGCACCAATGGTCCCCATTCCTTACCCCTTCCTGCATTCAGGTCCTTTGCCACTGAGTGGGATGTCTCTCCCCATCCTCCTCCTCTGGGCTTAGCCACATGTGGCCAACTTCAGCCAATGAGAGCTAATGTGACAGACGCAGAGGCTTGAAAAGGTACTTGCATGTTTCCACTTGCTTTCTTGTCCTTTTGTCACCATGGGAACACAATCAAACTAGAGCTGAGACGCAGAGATGCATGGAGCAGAGCTGAGTTGGCCTCAGTTGTCCCAGCCAAGGATCTCTTAGATCAGCTGACAGTCAGCTGTCCCCAGGCACAAGGGTGAGCCCAGTCAAGATCTGAAGTCGTAAACCAGGCACGGTGGCTCACGCCTGTAATCCCAGCACTTTGGGAGGTTGAGGAGGGCAGATCATGAGGTCAAGAGATTGAGACCATCCTGGCCAACATGGTGAAACCTTGTCTCTACTAAAAATACAAAAACTAGCCTGGTGTGGTGGCGTGCGCCTGTAGTCCCAGCTACTCTGGAGGCCGAGGCAGGAGAATTGCTAGAACCCGGGAGGCGGAGGTCACAGTAAGCTAAGATTGCACCACTGCACTCCAGCCTGCGCAAAAGCAAACCCCCCCCCCAAAAAAACCACAAAAAAACACAAAAATTCAGTCATTTGGCCTGCCCTGCCTGGATCAGCTCTGAAGACTCCTGAGTTACCTAAACACTTACTGCTGCATGCCAGTGACGGCTGTGGTTGTCTGTAACTGATACAGTACCCTTCAGTCCAGGCTGGCCATTTCTCCAGTCCCAGCCTCTGGAAGGTATCCCTTAATCCTTTAGCCCAAGCACCACTTAGAATGGAGAGTCATACATCCTGCTGCTTGAACGGTAAATCTTTACACAAAAACTCATCAGATCTTCACAAAGACTCCTGGCATACATCAGGAAAGAGATCTTTTGTCCCATTCTACAGATGATGATGTTAAGGCTCAGGAAACCCAACAGTTAGAAAAGCCAGAGACTGTGGTTAAAGATTATGACCTGAATGAATGCACTAGCCTCCACTTTCACCCAGAAACTCCACTAAGACAATTTTTGGTATGATAATTTTTTTAAAAATCCATCAATCCACAAAGATAGAGCAACCAAGGAAGAAGACGATAGTAACAAAGTTTGGCAGCTGGGAAAGAGATGTGTAGGGCTGACTCAGCAAACCCAAGAAAGCAGAACCCTAACCCATGACAATGCAATCAAATAGGCACTCAGGTTTGTGCTAGAAAACCCCAAAGGCTCTGGGATTGGTGGCAACACCAGGTATCTCCGGAAGTGAGATAGAGGAGGGTTTGTTGCAAGTCGCCTTAAAGGCAGTAAGATCCCTAGATCCTCTTCCTACTTCTGCCAAGAAAACGTTCCCTCTCATCCCAGCAGAAAACCAGAGGCAGAATCTCAGAAAGAAGTAAGACAGAGGGTCTCTGAATGCCTGGCTGAGGCACAGGGGACCATCCTGGGAGCAGACGGGTAAGTGAAGGTTTTTGGATTGCCCACCTTTGCCCTTCTTTTGCCCACATGAATCTCAGAAGGCTGTGAGCAGAAGTCCATTCGCTAGGTAGAAGAATGAAAACATCTATGCAGAACCAGACTAGCGCTAGAGAACAAACACCCATTCTGAGTTCCCCGTTGGATCTTCCTACTGGGAGGCGTCAGTCAACAGGGCCCACTCACCATACAGAGCCCCAACCATCTTCTTTTCTGCCCCACATTTAACATGAAGACACAGCCAAGGAGCCACAAACATTTAAGGGAAACCTAACAGCAGAGATGGACATATACACTAACAGGAAAGGTAACTGGCAGGACACAGAGACTGCAGAAAGAAGAAAACTTTCAAAACAAAATATCATCAGAGATGAAAGAAAATGGTGCGTCCATGAGACAAGAACAGAATGCTCAACAAAAGAACACTCACAAAATAAAATGCAGCTCTTGGAAATAAAAACACCATCTGACAGCAGAAAAGCAAACTCAATAAAAGAGTTGGAACATGAACTTGAGGAAATTTCCTAGAGCAGAACCAAAAGTAAAGAGACAGAAAACAGAAGAGCAACTGGAGGAGCAGCTCAGGCACACTTATATCCTACTAATATCCACACTGTAGGAACTCCAGAAACAGAAAAATCGGAGGAAGAAAATAATCAAAGAAATCATTCAAGGTGTCCCAGAACTGAAGGCATGGATTTCCGGACTGCGAAGGTCCATTAATTTCCCAGCAAGTGACTGAAAAGAGACATACACTGAGGTATAGCATCATGAAATTTCAGAACATTGAGGACAAAGAGTAGGCCCTATAATCTTCCAGGGAAAAGACAGGTCACATACAAATGACGAGATATCAAAATGGTATCCGGTTTCTCATCTGGAATGTCAGAAGCTAGAAGCAATGGATCAATTTCAAAATTCAGAGGGAAAATGACTTCCATCCTATAATTCTTTATTCAGCCTAATTATCAATTAAGCATGAGAGTAGAACAGAGTTTCAGATTTCAAAAATCTCAAATATTTTACCCCTCTCCCATGCACACTCTTCTAGGAAGCTACTGGATGGCGCTGACCAAGAAAGAGACAAAGGAACCAGCAAATAGGGAATGGAAAACAAGAGAGATTCACAGCTCACATCACGTTTACAAGGAAAGGCCAAAAGCTTCCCTGCTAGGATCAGAAAGAAACAAGGACGTCCGCTTCTGCTTAACATTGTAATGGAGGTTCTAAACAGGGCAATTGGGCAAGAGATAGAAATAAAAGGCATCTATATTAGAAAAGAGGAAGTAAAAGGATCTCTGTTTGCAGATGACACATCTTGTATATAAAATCCCTATGGAATCTAAAACACCATTAGAACTAATAAATGAGTTCAGCAAGGTTGTAGGATACATCAATTGTGATTTTATATACTAGCAATAAACATTCTAAAAACGGAAATTAAGAAGACAATTCCATTTACAACAGCATCAAAAAAGAATAAAATACTTAGGTATAAATTTAACAAAATAATTGCAAAATTTGTACACTGAAAACTATAAAATATTGTTGAAGGAAATTAAAGAAGATCTAAATAAAAGGACAGACATTTCATATTCATGAACTGGAAAACTTAATATTATTAAGATGGGAATATTCCTCAAACTGATCTATAAATTCAATGTAATCCCTATCAAAATCCCACTGTCTTTTTCACAGAAATTGACAAGCTGATCCCAAAAATAACATGGAAACTGAGATTATACCTGTAATCCCAGCACTCTGGGGGGCTAAGAGTGGAGGACTGCTTGAGGCTAGGAGTTTGAGACCAGCTTGGGCAACATAGTAAGATCCTTGTAAAAAAAAATTCATATGGAAATACAAGGGACCCAGAATAGCTAAAAGAATCTTGAAAAATAACAAAGGTGGAGTACTCACATTTCACATTTTAATAACTACAAAGCTACAATAATCAAGACAGTGTGATACTGGCATAAAAAGAGATATAAATCAATGAAGTTGAGAGTACAGAAATAATACCTGATATCATGCTCAACTAATTTTTGACAAGGATGCTAAGACAACTCAATGGGAAGAGAACAGTCTTTTCAAAAAATTATGCAGGAACAATTGGATATCCACATGTAACAGGATGAAGCTGGAGTCCAACCTCACACCAACAACCCAAAATAAACTCAAAATGAGTCACAACCTAAAAGTAACAGCTAAAACTGTAACATTTCTAGAAGAAAACACAGGAATTATGTTCATGACATTGGGTTAGGCCATGGATTCTTCGATGTCAAAAGCACAACTAACAAAAGAAAAAAACTGATACACTGGACTACATCAAACTCAAAATTTTGGTGCTGAAAACTATAGCATCCAGAAAGAGAAAAGACAACCTATGGAATGGAAGAGAATACTTGCAAATCATATATCCCATGGAGAACTGGTATCCAGAATGAATAAAGAACTTTTACAACTCAACAACAAATTGCCCAATTAAAATATGGGCAGCTGGGCATGGTGGCTCACACCTGTAATCCCAGCACTTTGGGAGGCCATGGCAGCTGGATCACCTGAGGCCAGAAGTTTGAGACCAGCCTGGCCAACATGTGAAGCCCCATCTCTACTAAAAATACAAAAATTAGCCAGACATGGTGGCACATGCCTGTAGTCCCAGCTACTTGGGAGGCTGAGGCAGGAGAATCTCTTGAACCCAGGAGGCAAAGGTTGCAATGAGCTGAGATCGTGCCATTGCACTCCAGCCTGGGTGACAAGAGCAAAGCTCTGTCTCAAAAAACAAACAATAACTGTTGAAAAGATACAGAGAAATTGGAACCCTCATATATTACTGATAGGAATGTAAAATGGTACAGCCTCTTCAGAAAACAATTTGGCAGTTCTTCAGAAAATTAAACCAAGAGCTCCCAAGAGAAATAAAAAACATATGTTCATATAAAAGTCTGTACACAATGTTCATGGCAGCACTATTCATAGTAGCCAAAAAGTGGAAACAACCCAATTGTCCAGCAACTGATAAATGAATAAGATGTAGTGGATTTATAATGAATTATTCATCAACGTAAGGAAATGAAATACTGATACATGCTATAACGTAGATGAACCTTTAAAAACTTATGTTCAGTGAAAGAAGCCAGATACAAAAGACCACAGGTTGTTGTTTCCGTTTTTATAAAACATCCAAAAAAGGCAAATGTATAGAGACTGAGGGAGGGTTACTGGCTGCCTGTGGATGGCCGTGGAAATAGGAAATGACTGTGATGGGCACGAGGTTTCATTTTAGGTGATGGAAACATTCTAATGATGCTTATACAACTCTGTAAATAAACTGGAACCCACTGAACAGTACATTACAACAGGTGACCTTTTATGCTAATGTAAATTATGTGTCAACAAACTATTTAAAAACAAAACAAATAAGGGACAGCGGCTGTGTAGCAGGCAGAGGGTCAACTGTCTAGAACAGAGCCAGTCAGAAGCCTCCAGGAGAGACGTCTTCCAGAGGATGAAGCTGACGTACCACCGAATGTGCTGGAACACACTGCAAGGAGTTTTACACAGGTAGGGGAGATCATGGTCTTAAACTCCTAGGCTCAAGTGATCTATCTACCTCAGCCTCCCAAAGTGCTGGGATTACAGGGGTGAGCCACTGTGCCCAGACAGCAAATTCTTATAAAGTTAATATATTTAACATATGACCCAACGATTCCACTCTTGGATATTTACCTAGGAAAAATGAACACATACATCCATACAAAAACTGCTTGTGAATGTTCAAAGCAGCATTATTTGTAATAGACTCAAAATGGAAACAAATCAACTGGCAAATGGAAAAAATAAACCACAGCACATCCACATGATGGAGTCCTACTCAGCAATACACAGGAGCAACTATGGACACACAAACCACCATGGAGGAACCCCAAAAACATGCTG